ACTACATGTTACTCTGTGTACAGCTTGACATGCAGCTAAACCCACCTGTCCTCCAATAAAACAAAACTGTAAGCATAGATCTGGATGCTTTATTAAAAAAACAGGATGGGTGAAACTGGGAAAAATGGACATACATACAATAAGAACCCAAATACAAAATAAGCAGTATTGAGTTGCTGGTGAACATAATAATTAACAGATACAGATAAATCTAAATCCTATCAGTGATTCTGTGTGTATGGGAAGTGGATTTTGACCTCAGATGAACATGTGCCACAGATTAGGATGGATTCTTCCTGATGCTTCTGCTTCGTTCCAAATGCTAAAGGAAATAGAGTTTTCCCACCATGCACTTATTTTGAGAGTGAAGGTTGATGGGTAAAAGGGTTGGATCAGCTTCCAAACAATACAGATTGATATTTGGCCTCCCTAGCTACTAGATGGGGCAAGAGAGCAATAGTTTGTATATATACACAAATTATATGTTGGAGTATGATACCTTTTTTCCTTCAGGAAATGTGTGACATCTTTGCCCAGATTTTTTCCCCCTCCTAAGCCAAAACATTCTTGCCAAAATAAGCAAATGTACAAAAATACCTTTCTCTTCTTCCAAATAAAAGAAAGAAGGAAGTATCTGGTATCCAGTGCCAGGCTTGCCCCTCCCTTCTCTCTGGTTACAGAGAGATTGCAAAGCAGTCATTCCAGGGCACTAGAACTAATTTGACTGATTCTTAATGAACCAGGACTCTGAAAAGAGGATATGACCATTGACCCAATAATCAACTTTTAGAAATAGAACAGATTTATCCCATTTACCCATTAATGCCCAAACACTATTTTCTCTGCTTTCTACACAGAATTTAGCCTTTCTTTAAAAATACATTCACTTGAAAATACAGTGTGAACTTTTCCTTCTATATAAAACAGGCATAAACCTCATATGAACCTGTTACATAATTATTTCAGGTAATGTTTAATCAAGTTTTTAAAATGGTGCCAGTTTTGTGTTAGCTTGTCATTAGAAAAGCAAAGTTTGGAGTTAATGGCAGGTAAAACTTTGGTAAATGTTTAATGAGTTTTTCATGGGCAAACTACTTACTTGAACAAAAGTTTCATAAAGTCATAAAAAGCTTGTTTGTTATGTACATAGGATTGTATCCAGATCAGATTGTATGCAGATCTGAGTTCTAGTGGACAATCAATTAAATATGAGCCAAAATTGTGTGGCAGCAATCAAAAAAGCCAATGCAATCCTAAACTGCATTAATAGAGGGATAGTCTTAAGATCATGTAAAGTATTAGTACCGCTTTAAAAAAAGCTATATGGGAAATCTTTGTTCCAATGATTCTTTTAATTGGAAAAGGCCCTATATATTTTGGTCCAAGTTTTTTACAGGGCTGTGGGGACTATAGGTATTTTGTAGATTTCTCCTATAATGAATGGTGTACACTCAACCCTTTTTTTATCGGCTTGTGCTTTGTATGCCTGCCTAGCTTCATCTAGTGCTTTTCTAACTATTGGCCAGGTGTTTTGTAATTGTTCCATCCATTCTTTCAGTGATGGGATCATTGGTTCGTTTGGGGTTAATTCTGGCATGGGGTTGAAACTTTGATCGTTGGCTATTTGAAAAGGAGTGTAACCTGTGCTGGAGTGGACTGCATTATTGTAGGCAACTTCTGCAAAAGGGAGTAAGTCCATCCAATCATTCTGCTGGAAATTAAGAAAACATCTCAAATATTATTCAAGTACTGAGTTCATTTTTTCAGCCCCCCCATTCTCTTGTGGATGATGGCTAGATGTCAGTCCCTGAGTGGTTCCTAAAAGGGATAAGAATTCCTTCCAAAATTCAGACGTAAATTGCACTCCCATATCAGAGATGATGCATTGCGGTGCCCCATGCAATCTGTAAATGTGCTGGACGAAAAGTTTTCCTAAGGCTTTTGCGGTGGGAATCTTTTGGCAAGGGATAAAGTGCACCTTGTTTGGAAAACAAGTCCGTGACCATCCAGATAACAGTATTCCCATTGCTTTCTGGCAATTCCACTATAAAATCCATGACTATTTCTCTCCAGGGGGCTGAGGGATTTGCCACTGTTTGTAATAGTCCTGGCGATTTCCCTTGCAACCTCTTTGCAGTTGCACATTTTGGGCAGCTGGCCACGTAGCTTTCTATGTCCTTTTATATGGATGGCCACCAAAATTGCCGTTTAATTAAATGTAAAGTTTTTACAAATCCAAAATGCCCTGCTGATTTTATGTCATGGCAAAGCTGCATGAATGTGACTCTTTGGGTTGTTGGTATATATATCTTTTCCCCTACCCAAGGCAACCCGTCTCTCATTGTGCACACATTTTTGTTTTTCTGAAACCATTCATCTGTTTCCAAACTTTTCTGGAATTCAGTTCCAGTTTGGCTCTCCAGTTGTGGTTTTAATTTAGCTTGGGTTCTTGTGCTGCCAGTTGTGACTCTGCCATCATTGGTTTAGAGTCTGTGGCTCGCGTGCTGTTATACTGAAGTTCTTTCTCCCTGGTAAATGTTTGAGCTTGAATTGGAACTGGTGAAAATGCTGGGACCAGCGGGCTTGTTTGGGATTGAGCTTCCTGGGCGCTTTCAGGGCTTCCAAATTTTTGTGATCAGTCCACACCTGGAAGGGGATTTTGTTGCCTTCCAGAAACTGTCGCCACATGAGTAATGCCAAATGTATCCCGTATGCCTCTTTCTCCCATACGGGCCAGCGATGTTCTGTTTCCGTGAGTTTCTTGGATGTATATGCACAGGGTTGCAATACCCCATCATCGTTTTCTTGTAATAGAACAGGCCCCACTGCCACATCACTTGCATCCGCCTGTATTACGAAAGGCTTATCCATGTCTGGGTGCCTTAGTACTGGTTCGACAGAAAAAAGTCTCTTTAATCTCTCAAACGCTGCTTGGCACTCCATTGTCCATGTTAGTGGCTGGCTAGGTTTTACTGAGGATGCTCCCTTCGTTTTTAGTAAGTTAGTGAGGGGCAAGGCTATCTGGGCAAATGAGGGGATGAATTGGCGGTAAAAGTTTGTAAAGCCCAGGAAACTTTGTAGTTGCTTTCTTGTGCGGGGTGGTGCCCAATCTAATACTGCTCTGACCTTCTCTGGGTCCATTTCAATGCCCTGTGGGGATATGCGATAACCTAGGTAGTCAATCCTTTCCTGGTGGAATTCGCATTTTGAGAGTTTGGCATATAGGTGGGCGGCTCGCAGTTTCTTTAAAACCGCTCTGACTAGATTGACATGTTCCTCTTTTGTTTCGGTGAAGATAAAAATGTCGTCCAAGTAAACAAGGACCCCCTTAAACAGGTGCTCCCTTAGAAGTCATTGATTAATTGCATAAATACTGCAGGGCCCCCTTGTAATCCAAATGGCCAGACTTTGAATTTATAGCACCCCATGGGGCAGTTAAATGCGGTCTTCCATTTGTCCTCTTCCTTAATTCTCACACGATAGTAAGCTTCCCTTAGGTCTAGTTTAGAAAAAAATTTCCCTTTCGAGAGGTGTGACAGCATGTCTTTCATGAGGGGCAGAGGGTATAGGTTGCTTTCACTGATTGTATTCAGGGCCCTATAATCCACGCATAAGTGTAAAGAGCCATCCTTCTTCTCTCAAAAGAGGACCGGGGCAGCCACTTTAGGCTTGGCTGGCTCAATGAAACTAGGTTTTTTTAAATGAATCTCTCCATTTCCTCCTTCTCCTTTGGGCTCATGGAGTATAATCTGGGCTTCGGGAGTTTTGCCCCAGGCTTGAATTCAATGGCACAGTCTGTGGGTCGGTGGGGGGGGAGCTCATTTGCCCTCTCCTCACTGAAAACTTCAGCAAGGTCTCTGTATTCCTCTGGTATTTCTGGTGGTCTCTTTTCCTCTCCCATGGATGCTTTTTCTATTCTTGATTCTGGTAGCCCCCCTTGGGATTTTAAGTCCATAGGGTCCCCCTTCGGGAATTTGATTTCTGTTGTCCTCCAATTCACCCAGGGGTTCCATTTTTTTAACCATTCCATCCTTAGGATCATTGGGCATTCCATGCCTGGGGTCACCACAAACGTTATGTCCTCCTCATGTTTGCCCAGGGAGAGGTGTATTGGTAACGTGGCTAGTGTAACTGGCACCCCCCCCTGCTATGGATCCATCTAACTGGCCAAATGAGATTGGTTGTTCCAGTCTCCTCGACGGAATGCCCAGATTCCCCACTAGTGTCGGGCTAATGAGGCAGTGGGTGCAGCCAGAGTCTATTAAGGCTTTCACCTTCACGGCTCCGGGCATGGGGGGAATTAATATAGTCACTTGTCTTGAGGATGGGTGTGATGTGTCCACTTACCAGGGGTTCGCCCTCTGAGCTGTCATCTGAGGCGTTCACCGCCCCTGCGGTGCAGGCTGGAGTTCTTTCCCCCTGATGAGCAGAGGTGGGGGGTTCCACAATTTCCATCATTCTCATGGCAGTTTCTTTTGGCTTAGCTGAAGACTTTCCAGATTTGCTGAGCGGGGATTTGTCTGGGTTGTGCTGGGGGGCTTTGGAGTGGCATTCTACAGCTCGATGCCCTTCTCTTCCGCACTTGAAACACCCCATTTGCTTCTTGGCTATAGCCAATGGTTTCACTGGTTTGTGTGTCAACTCAGGCGGGGAGTGGCTCAATTGTTTTCCTCGGTGGTGTCTCTTCAATATGTCGATATCTGCTTCCTCTGCCAAGACGTACCATTCCTCAAGTTGGTGTGGGTCCCCTTGGGGCAGGCAAGCATCATATAGGTCATAATTTACTCCGTCTTTGAAATGGCTAAGGAGGATGTCTTCTGGCCAGTTCAGTTTGCTGGCAATGGCCCGGAATTCTTGCGTATATTCAGCCACCGGGCATTTGCCTTGCCTCATCGTTTTTATCCTTTTGTGAGCTTTGTGATCAGCCAGGGGGTCTTCAAATCACCTTCTCAGAGAGGACATGAAATGGTTGAAGTCGTTGAGTTCTGGGGCATTTGAGTCGTGCAAGTTCACCACCCAATCTGCAACCGATCCGTCCAGGGCAGATTGCACGATCCGGATGCAGGCTTTGTCGCTGGGGATGTCCCACCCATATTCCTCCATGTATTTTGATTCAAATACATGGCTATATACCTAAAGTGGAACTATAACTCTGATCTTACCATTTTTAGTCTTTAAGCACTCAGTCAGCAAATTGTTGTATCAAACTCTACTTAAAAGTAAAAGAATAAACCAAAAATGTTTTGGCAGACTCAGCTAAATGTACACACCAGCCAGTGAGCCTGCTTTCCCTGCTAACAATCTAGATTAGAAAACCAAAGGTGAACATTTGGCTTTTAAACTTATTGCCAATGAATGAAGTATGCTGCCCCTAAATATTTGTGTCAATTTTTTACTAGTAGTACTGTCATTAAACCACAACCTATAAAGTAATCCAAGGGTGGGGAAAGTGATTTCAAAAGAAGGCAGAAAGAAGTCCTGAAATCTCTTCCAGTTCTGCTTCTGGTTGCACTAAATGATGCTGCTTAACAGGGTCGGTGGAGGAAATGCCAGGTAAAAGAAGCCTTAAGCAACTTTGTTTCTGATACTCATTTTGAAGATGAACTTCTTTTTTACCACATAACATATTGTTTGTTATACTGCTAGATTTTTAGTTATTGTTTCTATCTGTTTTTTGTAATTATGTCTATGAGTATTTTTTTCATATAATGGTGGCTATGACTGTCCTTGTAAATAATGGTATGCAAGAACAGTAGGTTGTGTTGACAGTTATCTTTCTATTGATTTTATATCCATAAATCCAGCCCAAATGACTTTGCATCTTCATAAGAAGGGATAGGATTATGCTGGAATTTATCTATCTGAGAAGAGTGGGCAATTTTTCAGCAATCTGAGGAGACAGCTGGGGATGGGAACTGAGGTTGAAAAGCTGAATCCTCCTTACAACCATTTTATACAGAAAGTGATAGTTTCTGTGATGGTTCATTAATGCCTGACTTGTTTAGGAAAAGTCCTAAACAAGAAGATAATATTGTTAATCTAAGGCTGGTTTAAAGACTTGGTGGTTTCATTCACATATTATGCCAATCTTATTTTACTTAGGTTAGTTTTGTGGTTTAGCATATTGTAAGAATGATTAATTTAGAGAACGATCTCTCAGTGCAAAGGTCTTTGCCTGCAACAGGCCAAATTCTAGTGCAATTTATTGATTTGCATAGCAACATTGTTATGCAGATGACTGAGTAAGGAAATTCTGTGATCCGAAAACTGTTCCAATTATCTAAAAATAAGATCTGAAGCCAATTTTGTTTGGGTTAGTCAGGGAGGAATATAGCAATTTTCTAAGAAAAAATTAATTTGTTATGATAAATATGCATCAATATGATAAATCTTCAGAGTCAGTTAAACCTACAATACAATAGAATTAATTGAATAGAAGAATAAAATACAAATGGTGAGAGTCAGGAAGAGATAACATAAAGGAAGTAAGATAAACCATATAGGCAAAAATAGCTGGGTCTGAGAAAGGAAGAAGAGAAGCCATAAAAATATATAGGAAATGGCTAGCCAGGAAAAGACAGGTTGGAGAATAGGAAAATAAGCTGAATAAGATAAGAGGAAAGGCACACTGAATTGAAAAGCAGGAAAAGAACTTATTGTTTAAAATGGAGACATAAATATCTACTGAGTTTAAAATAACCATTTAAATGTCTATTTTTTCTTATTCTTATTGTTTATGTGAATATGATTTAATATGTTATCAGGAAATGTGTATAGGCGGTCGGAAAGAGTGTAACCTCATTGTACCTCAGCCAATGGGGAAAGAGGAGGGATGTGGCAGCCGGGACAGGGGATGTATAAAGAAGGAAATATTTTGGATTAAAACTTTGGAGAGAACCAAGCTTTTGATAGCTTCTCTCCCTGCTTATTGCAATAAACGAAACAAAAGGCCTTCACTGTATCTTGACTGGTTATTGGTCAGGCGAGCTTGCCTCTGGTCACAAAGGAAAGTAGCCAGGAGCACATAACAGTTATAATGAGTTTTTAATTGTATAAGATATGAAATATAAGATGCTTTGTTTGGGAAATATTTTAAATTTGTAATGGAAGGAAGGGAGGGAGGGAGGGAGGGAGGAAGGAAGGAAGGAAGGAAGGAAGGAAGGAAGGAAGGAAGGAAGGAAGGAAGGAAGGAAGGAAGGAAGGAAGATGGGGTAAGCATATGGTCTCACCATTCTTTCCCAGTAAGTACTTGTGGCTGCCACTTTCTTCTCCTTCTCAATATTATTTTTTCTTTTCCATTCTCATGTCATTCTTTCCCCCCTTTTTTCTCCTTTTCATGACTATCAATTCTTCTATGGTTCATGTTTATTACAACATTTAATGCTATTTTTATTAAATTTAGACATTACATTTTAAACAACCAGCTTTAAGTTGGCTTCTTAAATAAGAACATTTCCTTTTTGTAATGTTTATATTACTTTTCTAATATAATTCTAATGTAATTAGAATTAAATGTACAATTATATATATTTATTCAATCATTTATTACAATGATGTCACTGTATTTAGAATGGCAGGAATCTTAGACTTACACATAAGAAATTAAAACAGGAAAAAAAGAAAAGAAACTCAGCTTCTCCCCAAATAAAACATTTATTTATACTTAGAAGAAACTGGGTGTCAAGACTGATTCACCCTTTCACCTACATTTTCTCCCTCGCTCACAATTTGACAAAAAAAAAATGACTGTTTTAAATCATTTGCTTAATGTCTGACCTACATTGCTGTATTGTTTAACAGTTGCTGTTACTGAAAGCCAGGCTGGCTGTCTCCAAGCTGATAATGAGGTTTGGGATGGGAAACTGTTACTTTAAACCTATTGGTTGCCACCTAGAGGCTAACTGTATAAATAGCTGTCTAGCAGCCTTTAGGGCTGTTTCAGTTCTGAGTTAATAAACTTGTTTGCTGTTTCAACACTGCCTCATTCAATGCTAAAGAACCGAAGATATAACACAAAGCATCTTTGGAAGTTTGCAAGGACACCAAGCCTGGCTGTTTTCTTATAACAAAATGAACTGAAGTGATTGGTGGATGTATTTGGCTTTGAGTGGCTTGGAGGGAAATAACTATGCTTGTGTTTGCATGGGAAATCAGAGTTGGTTTTGCTTCTTCTGTGTCAGTGTAGATTTTCAATAAAGTACAGTATTATACTCTTGGTAAAATTATGTCCCAGGAGTTTCTTTTTTTGGAAATGCCAACTGGACAGTTGACATTGGGTGGATCAGATTTATATCAGTAGAAACTAAAAAGCAGTAGCTCCATTAAGTAAGAAATCAACTGGATGTTGATTATTGATGTGTTTTTATTCAACAGTTTTGTTAATGTTTTATAGCCAAGTGGATGTAAATCAAACCTGCAACCCCGAGGACATCTACTGATCCAGTAGCCCCCACCCCCTACCGGACCACAGATGGCAATCTGGACGGAAGACACTACCACCAACAACGGAGGCACCGATCCATTCCAAGACGTCCCCCGTTGGAGGTGAAATTCAAAGGGGAGCCAACACGCATGGGGTTTTTCCTAACCCAAGTCCTCAGCTACATGGAGGAATATGGGCAGGACATTCCCAGTGACAAAGCCCGCATCCGGATCGTGCAATCTGCCCTGGATGGACCGGCTGCAGATTGGGTGGTGAACTTGCATGACTCCAATGCCCCAGAACTCAGTAATTTCAACCGTTTCATGTCCTCTCTGAGAAGACGATTTGAAGACCCCCTGGCTGATCGCAAAGCCTGTGAAAGGATAAAAACGATGAGGCAAGGCAAACGCCCAGTGGCTGAATATACACAAGAATTCTGGGCCATTGCAAGCAAACTGAATTGGCCAGAAGACATCCTCCTTAGCCATTTCAAAGACGGACTAAATTATGATCTATATGACGCTTGCCTGCCCCGAGGGGACCCACACCGACTTGAGGAATGGTACGTCTTGGCAGAGGAAGCAGAGATCAACATATTGAAGAGGCACCGCCGAGGAAAACAATGGAGCCGCCCCCCACCTGAGGTGACACACGAACCGGTGAAATCATCGGCTACAGCCAAGAAGCAAATGGGGTGTTTCAAGTGCGGAAGAGAAGGGCATCGAGCTGTAGAATGCCGCTCCAAAGCCCCCCAGCACAACCCAGACAGATCCCCAATCAACAAATCCGGAAAGTCTTTAGCTAAGCCAAAAGAAACGGCCATGAGAATGATGGAAATTGCAGAACCCCCCACTTCTGCTCACCAAGGGGAAAGAACTCCAGCCTACACCGGTGGATGCCTCAGATGACAGCTCGGAGGGCGAACCCCTGGTAAGTGGACACATCACACCCATCCTCAAGACAGTGACTATATTAATCCCCCCCATGCCCCCCCACCGACCCATAGACTGTACCATTGAATTCAAGCCTGGGGCAAAACTCCCGAAGCCCAGATTATACTCCATGAGCCCAAAGGAGAAGGAGGAAATGGAAAGATTCATAAAAAAAAACCTAGAGAGAGGTTTCATTGAGCCAGCCAAGCCTAAAGTGGCTGCCCCGATCCTTTTTAGAGAGAAGAAGGATGGCTCTTTATGTTTATGCGTGGATTATAGGGCCCTGAATACAATCAGTGAAAGCAACCTATACCCGCTGCCCCTCATGAAAGACATGCTGTCACACCTATCGAAAGGGAAAATTTTTTCTAAACTAGACCTAAGGGAAGCTTACTATCGCGTGAGAATCAAGGAAGGGGACGAATGGAAGACTGCATTTAACTGCCCCATGGGGTGCTATCAATTCAAAGTCTTGCCATTTGGATTACAAGGGGGCCCTGCAGTCTTTATGCAATTAATCAATGACGTTCTAAGGGAGCACCTGTTTAAGGGGGTCCTTGTTTACTTGGACGACATTCTTATCTTTACTGAAACAAAAGAGGAACACGTCAACCTTGTCAGAGCGGTTTTAAAGAAGCTGCGAGCCGCCCACCTATATGCCAAACTCTCAAAATGCGAATTCCACCAGGAAAGGATAGACTATCTAGGTTATTGCATATCCCCACAGGGCATTGAAATGGACCCAGAGAAGGTCAGAGCAGTATTAGATTGGGCACCACCCCGCACAAGAAAGCAACTACAAAGTTTCCTGGGCTTTGCAAACTTTTACCACCAATTCATCCCCTCATTTGCCCAGATAGCCTTGCCCCTCACTAACTTACTAAAAACGAAGGGAGCATCCTCAGTAAAACCTAGCCAGCCACTAACATGGACAATGGAGTGCCAAGCAGCGTTTGAGAGACTAAAGAGACTTTTTTCTGCCGAACCAGTACTAAGGCACCCAGATATGGACAAGCCCTTCATAATACAGGCAGATGCAAGTGATGTGGCAGTGGGGGCTGTGCTATTACAAGAAAATGATGATGCAGTATTGCAACCCTGTGCATATACATCCAAGAAACTCACGGAAACAGAACAGCGCTGGCCCGTATGGGAGAAGGAGGCTTATGGGATACGTTGGGCATTACTCACGTGGCGAC